TAAGATATTATTTTTCATTTTTACTGTGTTGATATTTATACTTATGATGGGTAAACTACGGAGCCTTAGCAGAAAGCAAGGCAGTGGCATCAAAGTGTACTAGTAATTGAAGGGAAGAAAATATAATAGATTTTAAGTTTGTAAGTTTTTAGTTGAGACACTCTGCTGAAAACAAAAGTTAAAAAGATTAAAACCAGCAGAAGTTTATTGATGTGTGCTGTACCCATCATATGGGGGAGGTCTCATTTCAAAATATCTCTCTCAAGGCAATAGTTTAGGGGCCTTGCTTATATAGTATTTTAAAAAGAGCAATAAATCTTAGCAGAGTGACAAGACAAAGGAGAGAGTAGTTCTAGTCTTTTGAAAGGGGAGATAATGTGCGAAGATAGTAAAATCTGTTCCCAGGTTCCTCTGTCGTCTGCTGGTGCCTTCTTGGGGTTACTAAGCAAGTGCTGTCTTCAGTAAGGAAGGATTTATGTCCTGCCAGCAGGCAAATAAAACCTGAGGCAGAGGATTCCCCTGCATTTCAGTGTCTTAACAATCCTTGATATTTTGGCAAGAAATATTTTGGTTTCCTTCAGTCTCATTTTTGAAACTCAGAAATGTTTACATATTAAAAGCCAGGTTTGTAGTTTTGAAGAGATTTGGGTTAGAAGTTTTAAGATAAGAGATTTTGCAAAAGGGGAAGAAAAACATAGATTGGACTAAGTAGAAAGGAATAAATTTGAATACATTGTCCCGTGCATTATTGAACCAAGTCTCTTATTTCTGAGAATAATCAGTTTCGTGGAATAGTTGTATTGCATTTCAGGAGGGGGTGGTTTAGGTGAGCTTTTATGATAGTTAGGTTGTAGGCAAACAGTTATTTAATAAGAGGCATTTCTGTGCAAACAAAAGAAAAACAAAAGTTAATGTCTGGGGAAATCTGCAAACTAGACTGAATTTGGAGGTAAGTCGGGTAAGAACATTTTAGATTTGGGCTCAAAGCATTTTCAGTTGGAGTGGGCAGGAAGTGGCAATCTGACAGATTTTCCTGGATTGCGGTTTGAATCAGGTGTTCCAGTGAATTTTCTGTCCATGAATAAGTTGTGGTGATTTCTACAAAGTTTATTTCAAGTTGTCTAGCTTTAGCTTGCAGGGATTCAGGAAAAGCAGTTTTAATTCCTAGTGATTTTAAGTCAGAAGGGTGGGAGAAAAATTGGAAATGTTAGCCTGGAAGAGTTATAGCCAGATATTAGAAGAAACTAAAAATTCAAGATTCAGTCCAGACAATAAAAAAATATAAAAACAAGTGGACAGGGCTGGAATCTAATAATAGATGCACTATAGTTTTATTTTGTTTTTTCTGAAACACATTTTTTCTCTCTCTGGTCTCTCATTTCTACCAAAGATAATCACGGTAAATCCAATGTATTTGTAAAATAAATTTTAGTCTCATTATATTTGGCCTGATTATTTGTATAAATTGTAGCAAGAGTAATGATTGAGTATATAGCCTTTTTTAAAATTGGCTTTTCTGTAACTTTGCATAAGGGATTTCAGGTTACACTTTTTAACAGTTTCTCCAGGCTAGGAAACCATGCCACAGACTTTACCATCTGATTTTATCTGTAGTCCCTGGGTGAATTCTTCTTTTCTTGAGGTCTCAAAAATATTTTGAAGCTCCTGGGTCTGTCAGAAAGTGACGTTGTTTTACTTACTGTAAGCCTAGACACCCTGCAAGGGAACCTTGTAGACAAGGTACAAGACCAGTTTTTGCAAGGGCTTTATTGGATCCTTGAAGTTAACCCTTAGTTTCTTAAAGCAGTCTGGTTATATCTCAAAATATGACATCCCAGTCAAACCCTTGGTAACGTAACCTGGATTTCCAATTGTGTCCTCTTACAAAAGAAAAAAGATTATTATTTAATTTATGGAAATAACTTTGAGGCCATAAAATAAAGATATTTACAAATAGTTTCCAAATTATGGAGAAATCAGATAGAGAGAAAGGTAAAATATTTCAATTTTGCTCACAAAAGTATACTTTACCCAGTCACTATAAGCTGTAAATAAAAGAAAATAGTTTTCTTGACTCTGGAAAACAAAACGTGAAAAGAATTTCAAACAAAAAAGTCATAAAAATTTTTTTTACTCCTGCACCAGTTCTTCCCATGTAATTAATTCTTATTTTGTTTGGTGGACTCAATTTTATGAGTGCTTTTTTTTTCATTGGAGTTTTTGGATTTCTTAGTGTAATTGTGTGATCTCAAAGTTGTCAGAAACCTGCATTTAAGAGCACTTGTAGTCTATTTCATGAACCTCTTTGAAGACACAACACTTTAGGATTTGCAAAGAGCTTTTAGGAGAAGAGCAACAGAATAAAGCAAAAAAATCACCCAGAGGGTTTATTAGGAACGGGCCCATGGGCACCCTCTGCCTAGCAACTACAAAAATTCCACACTCCCAGAGGGCAAACAGGTTTTCAGTGCCTCAGGTGGGTTAGAGCAGTTTTATCCTGAAGGGAAAGATTCCTATCTGTGTAGGCAAGTGTTTACCAGCCCAGGGCCAGTCCTGCAAGCAGCCTCCAGCCTGCTATGTTAACTCTTTTATGCACATAAGCTGATCCAAAATTGTTGTGGCTGTCTGTGTACTTCTATTGGAGATTCAGAAGAGGATATGGTTCACACTGTGTTTGAGAGCATTTTGGGGCTATTTTAGCATATATTTACTTTTTTCAATCTCAGGTAATAGCATAATGTAGGCCAGTGAAAGGGTGGGTACGTGTACCTTGCTTGGGCTGAGAAGAATTCTGGATTCAAAGATTAAGATAGGTTTTGAAGTGAGTTTTATTTTGCTTTCCAAGGGAGGGAAGAGCACAGCATAAAAGGGAGAAGAAATGTTGGGCCCCGAGAATGAGTGGCTGGGGCTTTTATTGAAATTTTTTAAGAGCAGAAAAGTTGTTATTGGGAAATGATAGCAGAAGGCAGTTTGTTTTCCAGAGTAGTAGCTGTTGTAAAATGGAAGGCGGTTGTTTTCCAGAGCAGTTGTTACTTGTTAGGCTGGTCTTCTCTCATTTCCACTTCTTGGAATGTGGCCGGGTGGATGCTGAGGGTCTACGTGCCCTCTTCTGTTTGTTCAGTATTTTTCCAGTTCTTCAAAACAAGCTCATAAAACAAGTTAACCGCCCTCCCCACCAGGTGATCAAGAAAGAAGCAAACACTGGGGCCAGTATACTGTTGTGTGAAGGGATGTTGTGTTATATTATTTATAATACTAGCAATGCCGTCCTTTCAGCCAGATTTCTGAAGGGAAAAAGTTGCTCTTTTTTAGTCCATAGGTGAGAAATGCTTGTTCCGTCCCCAGCTGTCCTTTGAGACTCCAGTTTCCAGCTTTGGCCCCTCAGGTTCAGTTATTCCATGTGATATTTGTGTATATCACATATCTTTGGTATTACAAATCATATGTGCATGTATATATATGATAAATATTTATACTTATACATGTATTTATTACATATGCTGGTAGACGAACCAGTGAAAGCATGATAGATTTGTAAGATTTGTGTCTACATGTGGTACTTATTTTCAGTATTCTTATTTACTATTTGATAGACTTTTTGGAACCCAAATCTTTCTTCAGCGTACAGAACGTTTTTCCTGTTTGTCCTTTGATTAACTTCTTTTCTGTCCACTCTGTTCTCTCCTTCTGGAACTCTTTCATTTTGATATTGGATAGCTGGGATTTTTCTTCCTTCTTATTTTGCTCTCATAGTTTTAATTTGTTTCTAATTTTGTTCTGTGCTATGTGAGAATTCTATTTTTTGCTCTACATGATTAGATTTTAGATTGTTTTTATTATTTTTTATTTTTAATTTATTTTTGTATTTTTTAATTTTCCAAGAATACTTTTCATATTTACCAATCATTCCTCTTCTACAGTGGCTTTATTATAGTTTTATGTATATATGTTTTACCTTTATCCTTGAATTTTTAAAACTTATTCAATGATTTCTACGTTAAATTTCTTTTAGGTCCTTTGCCCTTGCTTTTTAATTTTCTTTCTTCTCTTTAATAACTTTGAATTTCCCCAGAGTTGGGGTGTGGGAGTCTGTGGTTTACACTCCTGTTCATAAATGAAACTGGTAGAGGTTTCCTCAGTAATTAGAAGCTGTCTGGTCTCTACCCTGAGTGCAAACATTGACAGTAACTAAGTATGTGCACTTAATGTTAGTTTAAATGAGCAGGTAGGAAAGTGAACAATGGCAGGGTTCACTTCAGTGTGAGTGGGGAGCTCTTCCTCAGGGTGTAAGCCAGGAACAGGCAAGGTGCCCCCCACCCCCACACCCCTGGTTGACAGAAGTAACAATAAAGCTCCCTGTTTTGGAAGGTGAACTTCGCTGATTTTTGGTACTGTTACGGATTTCTATTCCTTTTTATATTTCTTATGTCGTTTCAGTGAGATTTTAGGATAGGCAAAAAAAAAAAAAAAATACACGTTCTTGGTTCCAGATTTTGTACTGAAACTCAATAAAACTAATCGTAGTTTTATTAGAGGCATTCCTTTTTGAATGTTATAATTATATGACTCTAATTTATTTTAAGGTGAATATTTAAACTTAGAAAGTATCATAATTGAGTTTGAGCAGCATATTGTAGTGCTTAAGAGCACAGGCTGTGGGCCCAGGCTTCTTAGGTTAGAATCTTAGTTTTGATAGCATAGGCATTGGGCATGTGACATAATCCCTGTCTCCCTCAATTTCTTCACGATGGATATAAAAATCATACCAATCTTAAATGATGTTTAGAGATTTAAATGAGTTACTATTTGTGAAGTGCTTATCATAATATTTGGTACTTAGTAACTGCTAGATAAGTGTTAAATAAAAATAAATATAGCTGTATGTAAAAACATGTACCAAGAATTCATTCCAAATAATGATTTCTCTCAAATAGTTGCAATATATGTTTGAATTACTTAAATAGCCATGTTTATGTCTTTCTCTGCTTAATTTTTTACAGCTTATCGTGAGCCTCATTATTATTACCAGTTCACAGCTCGATATCATGCAGCTCCCTGCAATAGTATCTATAATATTTCTTTTGAGAAGAAACTTCTTCAGATTTTAAGCAAATTGGTTCTTGACCTTTCATGTGAAATTTCCTTACTTAAGTCTGAATGTCATCATGTTAAAATGCAGAGAGCTGGTTTACAAAATGAATTGTTCTTTACCTTTTCAGGTAAGTATAAACAATTCTTTAAAGGAAAACAAATTGAGAACACATAGCTCATTTTAAAGATATGTTGTGAATTACCAAAAGCACTTTTATAATATAAACACTGTACACCTGAATATATTTTATGATCTCTGCTTCGGTTTAGTACTAATAGCCCCCAAAATAAAATTTTCCTGATTCATGCACTTAATGAAAAGTTTACTCTCTCAAATAACTTATTCCTTGATATGATAATTTACTATAAAGTGGAATTTAGTATAAATAATGTCTATCCTGATATTTATAGATACAAAGATTTAATTTGTAAAGGCATCTAATTGTAAGATGGGTTAATATAGAGTAGAGGAAAAAAAATAATTGGACTTGATATCTAAGGAATTTAAATTTATAAGGAGTCTTTATGAATGAGCACTTAGGAATAGCTATCTATGTGTTTTTAAGCAGTTCCAGTGGCAATAGGATGCTCCTCCCTTGTAATGTCAAATGCTATTGCTTGCTGTTTTCCTTTCTTCCTTCCTCCTCTTTCCCTTGATTCCTCTTCTATCAGTGTTTGATTATACTCACCCATTTCCTGACTTTCCCTTTCCTTTCTTTTTTTTGGCCTTCTAGGCTTGAAATTTTAGAAACACAGTTGAGAGACATGAAGCTTTAAAGGACAACCAGAGAAGTTTAACCTTATTTTCCCTGTCTTTTCTCTTCTCTTCTCCAGAAAAACATTGAGAGTTTTTCTCTAGTTCCCTAAGATGCTTACCAGAGATAGACTCTTTAGCTCTTCAAGGACCCATTATTAGCATTCACAGGAGTTACTGGATCTTTTGTTCCCTGAACTGTTTAATAGATGGATGAGTCCCTAGAAAACCTGAAAGTGTACTTGAACCAATAAGAGAAAATAGATGATATTGAATAGAAAAATGAAGCATTGTGTGCTTGATTTGCATTTCCCTAATTGCTAATGTTGTTGAACATCTTTTTATGTGCTTATTGCCCGTTTGTGTATCTTCTTTGGAGAAATGTTTATTCAAGTCCTTTCTTATTTTCAAATTGGGTTGTGTGTCTTTTTGTTGTTGAGTAGTAAGAATTCTTTATAAATTCTGGGCGCTAGATCCTTATTAATATATGATATGCCAATATATTCTTCCATTTTTTAGGTTATCTTCTGACTTTCTTAATGTCCTTTGATGCATAATTGATTTCAATTTTGATGACATCCAATTTATTTTTTTTTAATTTTGTTCCTTGTGCTTTTGGTGTTGTTTATAAGAATTTATTGCCAAGTCTGAGGTAATCAAGATTTACCCCTTTTGTAGTTTTAGCTCTTTCGTTTAGGTCCAAGATCTATTTTGAGCTAATTTTTGTATATAGTGTCAGGTATGGCTCCATCCTTATACTTTTGCATGTATCCAGTTGCCCAAGGACCATTTCTTGAAGAGACTGTTCTTTCCACGGTGAATGGTATTAGCACCCTTGTTAAAAGTGAATAAGCCATAAATGTATGGGTTTATCTCTGAACTCTCAGTTTTATTCCATTTTTCTACATTTCTATACTCATGTTGGTACCACATGATTTTGATTACTGTAGCTTTGTAGTTCAGTTTGAAATCAGGAAGTGAGAGTCTTCCAAATTTTTTCTTCCTGTTGAACATTGTTTTGGTAATTTGAAGTTTGAAGTTAAGTCATTAATTTGAGATTGTACTTCTTTTTTAATATAGGTGTTTGCACCTATAAATTTCTCCCCAAGTACTGCTTTAACTGCAATCTATAATTTCTTCATTTCATTTTCTTTTCATTCATCTCTAAGTATTTCCTATGGATTAATTTTTGGCCTGTTGGTTAAGAGTATGTTCTTTAATTTCCACATATTTGTAAACATACTAGTTTTCCTTCTGTTATTGATTTCTAGTTTCATTCTTTTGTGGTCATAGAAGATACTTTGCATAATTTTAATCTTTTTGGAATTTTCATGGCCATATATATGATCTACCCAGAGGAATGTTCCATGTGCACTTCAGAAGTGTGTATATTCTCCTCTTCTTGGGTGGAGTATTCAGTGTACATCTTATAGGTCTAGTATTGTTCAAGTGTTCTATTTTCTTATTGATTTTCTGTCTAGTTTTTGTATTCATTATTAAAAGTGGGATATTGATGTTTTCAACTGTTACTGGAAAACTGTTTTTCCATCAGTTCCGTCAATTTTTGCTTTGTATGTTTTGAGCCTCTGTTGTTAGAGGCATGTATGCTTATAAATGTTATATCTTCTTTATGAATTGGCACTTTTATCAAAATATAATGCACTTATTTCTTGTAACAATTTTAAAGTCTATTTTGTCTGATATTTCTATACGTCTGCTCGCATTTTCTGTTTCTTCTTGAGTCGGTTTTAGTAGTTTGTGTGTTTCTAGCAATTTGTCCATTTCATCTAGTTCTAATGACTGTTTACAAGAAATATATTTTTCCATCCTTTTACTTTTAACCTGTTTTTGGGATTTAAAGTGAATCTCTTGTAGATAACAAATGGATCCTTTATTTTTACCCATTATGCTTACTTCTGCCATTTAATTGGAGCCTTTCAATTAAGCCATTTGTATTTAAAATTATTACTAATAAGAAAGGACTTGCTTTTGTCCTTTTGCCATTTGTTTTCTATATATTGTAAGTCTTTAATTAATAGACTTTCTTATTAGAGCAGTCTTGGCTTTACAGAAAAATTGAGCTTCTGGTTCTCTTACATCGATCTCTTTATTTGTTCTTTCACCAGTACCACACTGACTTGATATCCGTAGTTTTATAGTAAGCCCTGAAGTTGGGTAATGTCAATCCTCTATTTTTGTTCTAGTTTCATTCTTTTGCATATGGATATCCAGTTTTCCCAACACATTTTATTGAAGAGATTATCTTTTCCCTATTGTATCTTCTTGGTGCCCTTGTTGAAAATTAGTTGCCCATATATGCATGAGTTTATTTCTAGATTCTCTATTCTGTTCCATTGGTCTATGTGTCTGTTTTTATGCTGATACCTTACTGTTTTGATAGCTATAGCTTTATAGTATAATTTGAATATAGAGAATCCCTATATTTGTGTTTAAAAAGTCACCACCAAACCCAAGGTCACTTAGATTTTCTCCCATGTTAACAGTTTTACATATTTACATTTTACATATTTACATTTTACATTGATGTCTGTGATTCATTTGTTAATTTTGGTGAAAGATATATGGTCTATGTTTAGATTTATTTAGATGTGGATGTCCAGTTTTTCTAGCACCATTTTTGAAAAGACTATCCTATCTCCATTGAATTGCCTTTTCTCTTTTGGGAATCATCAGTTGAGTGTATTAGTTGGATCTGTTTCTGAGCTTTCTATTTTCTTTTCTCTTTGTCTATTCTTTCACCAATACCAAACTGTCTTGATTTCTATAGTTTTATAGTAAGCCCTGAGGTTGGGTAATGTCAGTCCTCTGTTTTTGTTGCCTTTTATATTGTGTTGGCTCTTCTAGGTCCTTTGCTTTTCCATATAAATTTTAGAATCAATTTGTAGATAAATCCAAAATATCTTACTTGGATTTTGTTTGGGATTCAGTTGAAACTATACATTAAGTTTAACAATAGTGGGTCTATCTGTGAATGTGAATTATCTTTCCATTTACTTAAATCTTTGATTTTTTTCATCAGAATTTTACAGTTTTCCTCGGGTAGCTACTGTACATATTTTATTTTGTATTTCATTTTTTGTTAATGTAACAGCATTGCGTTTTTCATTTCAGATTATAATTGTTCATCGTTAATACATAGAAAAGCAATTGACTTTGTTTTTCTAAATTTTTCTGTTGTATAAATTTAAGGTGTACAACATAATGTTTTGATATACATATTAAAATAATTACTATAGTTAAGCAAACTAACATACCCATCATCTCACATAGTTCCCTTTCTTTTTGTATATTTGTGTATGTTTAGAGTACCTAAAATCTATTCTCTAACTAAATTTCTAGTGTATAATACAGTTTCGTTAACTATAGTCCTCATGTGGTACATTAGATCTGTAGACTTATTCATCCTACTCAACTATAATTTTGTACACTTAGACCAATATCTCCTCATTCTCTCCACCCCTCCCTTGCCCCGGTAACCACCATTCTGCTCCTTTTTTATGTACTTGATTTTTTTTTTTTTAGATTCCACATATAAGTGAGATCATGTACTATTTTTCTTTCTGTGTCTGAATTATTTCACTTAGCATAATGTCTTCTGGGTTCATCCATGTTGTTGCAAATAATAGGATCTCCTTTTATAAGGCTAAATAATAATCCATTTTTGTGTGTGTATGTTTATGTGTGTGTATATATTTATTCATTTATATTTATCCATTCATCATGAGTGGACACTTTGGATATTACCATATCTTGGCTATTTTGAATAATGCTGTAATGAACATGTGAGTGCAGATATGTTTACAAGGTTATTATTTCATTTCCTTTGGGTGTATACCCAGGATTGCTTGGTCATATGGTAGTTCTATTTTTAATGTCTTTGCTAATCTCGATACTGTTTTCCACATTGGCTGCACCAGTCCATATTCCTACTAACAGTGTATGTGAAGTCCAGTTTCTCCATGCTCTCGCCAACACTTGGTATCTCTCATCTTTTTGGTAATAGCCATTCCTAACAGATATGAGATGATATCTCATTGTGGTTTTGATTTGCATTTCCCTGATATTTACTGGTGTTGAGTACTTTTTCATATGCCTATTGGCTAGTTTTATGTCTTCTTTGGAGAAATGTCCATTCAGGTAATTTGCACCTTTTTTTACTTGGGTTATTAAGTTTTTTGCTAATGAGTTGTGTGTGCTCCTTACATATTTTGGATATTAGCCCCTTATCAGATATATGGTTCCAGAATATTTTCTCCCAGTCTGTAGGCTGCCTTTTCATTTTGTTGATTGCTTTCTTTGCTGTACAAAGGTTTCTTAGTTTTATGTAGTTTACACTTAATTATTTTTGCTTTT